CTAGCTCCCAGCTTAACTGACCAGTTCATGTAGCCTAGTACAAGCCACCTTGTGTAGTTACATTTTTTAATTCTGAATTCTGAGTCTGTTTATAGAAATACACACGTGGCACTCACACTGTTTGTGAGTTTCATGTAGGATTAAACAAATAATAATAGTTCGGTAAAATATTTTTATAATAGTTTTCTGCTATCACTGTTAGAATACATTCAGAACTTGTTTCATTTATTCCTGTACCGTTGGCATCCCTGTGCCGTCGAGCAAATAAGGGTGTGTGATGTTACACACGGTAGCATTATACTTTTACGTTTAAACAGTAAATAAAAATAAATTAAAAAACCTCTATCTAATGGTTAAGTGCAGGAAAGAGATTAAAAAAACACTATACGTGGGTAGTACTGTGTCGGAGAGAGCAACACACTCCATTTTAGTTTAAAATTACCCTCTAAAATGCTGATTGGCCAGGTTGCCTGACGTCAAGGCGTGTGACGCAACACGGACATTCCTGATTGGCTGGGAGAAATGGATAAGTCTACGTAGAACCCCGTTCACTATCAGGAAGTCTTGGAAAAACGACCTACACAGCTTCACATTCTCACGAAAAAGTAAGTGAAATACGCTACAGTTTCATGATGTTGTGGTTGTAATGCAAGTGTTTGGGGTTTATCCTTAAGCCCTTTCCCTCGTAGGGGTTTGTTATATTCCGGCACAGCGCATGCTCATATGACTGGTTTGGGTCCTGTAGCTGTAATAATGGATATAGCTCCAGCTAAATGGCTGTAATTTATATATATGTAATGCATATATTGGGCTTTGTTTGAGTCTTTGTATGCGGCTGTGCACGACGTGTATGCTTTGCCGCATTGTATGTTTTGTATCATCATGTTAACCTGCTTGCGTTCTTGTTACAAATAAGATATACCGGTTCTTTTAATTAATTAACATTTCTATGGCCGCTGTGTCTCCCCATTAGAAAGTCTCTGGGCTACGACGCCCATGGACAAACCTATGGATGAGACCAGTGACTCCTGCAGCGAGAAACACCACCCACAAGGTTCACTCAGGTACTTCTGGGCCAAATATACATTCAAGAAAATCTGGCTCAGTACAGGTGACCTATTGCTGTTATACTATATATAAATAAATAAATAAATAAGTTTTCTCTGTATGGAAATACTGCTTTGTTCTGCTACTGGCTCTCAAAAAAGTACAGAAGGAATTATTTACACCATTCAAATTTTATTTTTGTAATCTGTACAAATTGTTTAGTCTTTTATTTCAGATTAAACTGTTCCACAAGCAAGAAAGCATTCTAGGACAGAGTGTGTGTCTGGAAGCCCTGTCCGTAAGTTAACATTTATGCATGCATTTAAGAAACCAGAGTCATATTTCCTGCCATGGAACTTCTGAGTACTGACATTCAACCTTGTGCATATCATGTGACTGTTCTGATGTGTTTGTCTCTTCCTGCCTTTTTTCAGGTCTGCAGATGCCTCCACCACCTGCATGTAAGTTGTTGTTTTTTGGCCATGTGCACGAAACCTGACATAAATGAACTGACCAATATTCATATCCACTTTCTTTTTAGATGAGTCAACACCACACAGAAAACCAGCCAGTCACCCAGAATTGAATGGGTCTATTGTGACGCAAGCTCAGCCTGAAGGTACAGTGGCTTTCAATTTTCCATTTCCAATTAAATACAATTTCATGACAAGGAACTTGAGAGTAACTTGACTTTTATTGTTGTAAACAGCAGAACTCATCACACAGAGGGAGGTGGCTCAGCCATGGAGATGGAAAAGAGAGGTAAGAAGACTCACTTAAGTTGTTCACATATGCAAGTATATAATGTATAACTAAAACTAACACCAATAATTTTTCCATAGCCGTGAGGACATCCATTACCCGCATGGCACAGCAGATGGACGCATTTGAGGAGAAGATGGAGCAGAAGATGGATGAGCTGCTCATGCTCTTAAGGAGCTCCCAGTCACCTCCCTCTGCTCCAGTCGATGACATGTTGCTGTCGCCCTGCTCAACAGTCACTGAGCTGGAGGAGTTCGACAGGAGTCTCGGTCAACAGGAGAGGAGGGACAACATGGTAATTAAGTGGCCATAGTCTTGCCCTAAGATTAACACTATATAATTGCATAACTTTAAATATCATTATAACTGAACTGACGGCTCTTACAAAATGAGATTGTACAAGCTCTCCACTTTGTTCTACATGTATAATTTGTATTTCTATATGTTTTACAGCAACTTTTCCTGACAACCCTTGGAGGTTCGACCAGAGGTACTGCCATCCGTCGCATGCTACGGCGAGTGGCAACCAATGACGTGCTAAAACAGTATAGTCTGCGGGGCAGAAAGGCAAAGAAGGCCTTCCAGGACCTGACAATCTGCAGGGTTATAACAGGCAGGTGATATTTTATTGTTCACATCAGTATTATGTTCAGCTTGGAGGTTTTAATTTGACTTGTAACTATGCTTCATTTTGACTTCTACTCTAGCGGCCTCCCAGAAAAACGTCCCCGCGCTGACTGCAGCAGACGCGGAGGACTTGATTGGGCAAGTGCTAAAGTTTGCCCCACACAGACGGTAAATTGAAATTCTTCTATGTGATGTTCATAATAATCAATGGAATGGGAAAACTATCAATATTTGTGATCATTCTTAGTATGACTTATCAAACTTTTGTTTCTTTCTTTTTAGGCCAGCTGAGAAGGACTGAACCTTCAATCAAAACCATGGATCTCTTTTTTTAAAATATTTTTTGCAATTGAATTTGACACTTTGACCATTCACCTACACATTATATACTTTATCATCCCAATATGCATCTTGCACACTACATTTGTACTATATATACTTTATCATCCCAATATGCATCTTGCACACTACATTTGTACTATATATACTTTATCATTCCAATATGCATGTTGCACTACATTTGCACTATTACTTTGCACACTTCATCCCACTCCATTAGTACTTGTATTGATATGTCTTATTTGTATAGTTGTATTGATATGTCTTATTTGTATAGTTGTATACTAAAACTGATTATAATTCTTGTTGAATTTATTTTTAGGCCTTTTATAATTTTTGTATTTTGTTACTTTTATATTGTATATTAAAGTTAAGTCCCATCAAGTTTGCCTATTCATTTATTCCTGCTAATTTATTATAATTAATTCCTGCTCATGCACAGACAGTTTAAAGTAATAATAAAATTGGTATCATTCCAATATGCATCTTGCACACTACATTTGCACTATTACTTTGCACACTTCATCCCACTCCGTTAGTACTTGTATTGATATGTCTTATTTGTATAGTTGTATACTAAAACTGATTATAATTCTTGTTGTATTTATTTTTTTAGGCCTTTTATAATTTTTGTATTTTGTTAATTTTATATTGTATATTAAAGTTTTAAGTCCCATCAAGTTTGCCTATTCATTCCTGCTAATATATAATAATTAATTCCTGCTCATGCACAGTTTAAAGTAATAATAAAATTGGTATCATTGTTAAAGTTTTTTAAAGGTTAGGGGAATGTAAAAAAGAACGTTAGGGGAACGTTCCCTAAAGGTTGCAATGTAACCAAAAACGAACGTTCCCTGAACGTTAAGAAAACTTTCCATGGGAACCAAAACCTAACCTTAAAGGGAACCTTAAGGGAACGTTCCTGCAACCAAAAACTAACGTTCCCAGAACGTTCTGGGAACCATAAATTGTTAGCTGGGTTCTCACTCCGAAAACTCTTTTCATGCATTTATTATGTGTCGGCTAGATTACTGCAATTCCTTATATTGCGGTATATCAAGTTCTCAAATTGCCCGTCTTCATTAAGACCAAAATGCTGTGGCCAGACTTATAAGTGTCGCAAATATGACCACATCTCTCCGATTCTCAAATCTCTATATAACATAGCTCCTGCTTATCTCTCTGAACTCGTTCATCCTTACACTCCGTCCAGAAGCCTAACCCCTCATTTACACTGCATACGTGTGCGGCGCATTACGGCTGCGACACGGCTACCGGAGCTGATCGCGGCCATTCTAGTCAATGCGTGTGTTTACACCGGCCGCGAAGCGTCGGTTTCAGAAGCTTCCCAGAAGCGGCTCTCCGCGCCGCTTCGCTAAATATAGGCGCCTAGTCTATTTTTGACGGACGCGCGTCCAAGTCGCACCGGAAAAACAAAATAAAAGTCAAAAAACCCTGTCAATTTCTTATTGCACGTATATTGGCAATATATCCTTGGTAGGAGACCAGAAATGGACGACGAGAGATTCATCCTGGAAGTTGAAAAACACAGTGTTATATGACACCACAAATCCTTTTTACAAGGACAATTCCAAAAAGGACAAAGCATGGAGTTTGATTGCACAAGTTGTAGGAGTGGAAGGTGAATACAATAACCTCCAAATTATCTTCCTACTACATGATTTTAAAAAGTAGCCTATATAACCATTGAGTATTTATGCATCTTGAAAACCAATTAAAATGTCAAGTAACTTTGCATTACACAGGACAGGACCTAGATATTAGTACAAGTACATAGACCCTTTGTTAATATGTAGGCTATGAGTTTTTTCAGGTAGGCCTAGTTTAATGTAAAAACAAATCTGATTTTAACATTTTATTACTTACCTATATGTTTTAAAAGTAGGTTACTATACAAGAACTTCACTAATGTTATTACAGGAGCCTATATACGTAGCCTACTGCCCTGTGTAAATTCTGTTCAGATACAGTACTGTTGGGAAGGTGCTTGGACTTGCACTCTCGAGCTTTTCAAATGCTAATGTGAATTTGGTGGGAGTGACATTAACTCTTTTCAATTAAATTGATAGTTTAACACACCAAAGTTCTCAAACAAAAACTTTATTTTTTTTATTTTTTGCCAAAACACCTTTTTATCAATACAGCATACTTGTCTTTTGGGATCATAATCACTTATCAGCTTTTTACAATCCTAGCATGATACTTCAATAAGCTTTGATGTCATGCCTTTTGATCACACCATCCTGTTTTGCCATGACACAGTCTTCAGGAGAGGTAAAGCAGGTGCAGAAGACCTCCCTCACATTACAGGCCTCTGCTGATGCCCTGTTTCCTCCCATGTTTCTTACTGGTGCCATATGTCTCCCCAGCTGCTCTGCCTCATCCAGCAAACTCTGGTTTTCGCTGGGGACAAGCAGGAAATTGTGAAGGATGCATGTAGCCATCACAAGTGTGTCAACATTTTTTGGTTGCAGGTTGATTCTGTTAAGAAATATTCTCCACCTGGAGGACAGAATGCCAAAGGCATTTTCAACCACCATCCTTGCTCTTGAAAGTCTGTAGTTGAAAATCCTCTTTTTGTAACTGAGGTTTGCTCCGGGGTATGGTCTCATCAAGAATGGTTTGAGTTGGAAAGCTGCGTCACCAACCATGACGAATGGCACATCACCCAGGTGGGCAGCACCAGGTAGAGAGGTACTGGGTGGCACATGCAAGGTGTTGGTCTCCATTCCCCTCCCCAAATCCGAACTGGCGTACACACCACCATCGCAGGTTCTTCCGAAGTCCCCCACTTGAATGAATCGGAACCTGTAGTCAGCACCCACAAGCGCCAAAAGCACTATGGAGAAGGTCTTCTTGTAATTGAAGAACTGACTTCCAGACAGTGGTGGTGCTTGTATTATTATATGTTTGCCGTCTATTGCTCCCAAACAATTTGGGAAATTCCATTTTTCACAGAATCCTTGGGCCACCTCTTTCCAAGTGTCTTGTGTTGGCCTGGTTGGGAAACTCTCCATCATCACCTTTTCAATGGCTGCACACACCACATGGACAGAGTTCATGACAGTTGCGTGCCCTAGGCGATAGCTGAATGCTAAGCTGACCATTGAATCTCCAGAAGCCAAGTATCTGTGAGGGAAGAAACAAAGGAAAAGTATTGTATTCATCTTTGTGTGTCTTCTTTGTTTCAGTCGACGTGTGCAGTGCGAGATGGAAAACATTAAGAGATGCTTTTGTGAAAAACAGAAAAAATAAGAATCTGCCTAGTGGATCAGCAGGTGGAAGTCAAAAGGACTGGAAATATTCAGAGATATTGTCCTTCCTTTTGCCCCACTTACAGCCAAGAAGGTCTGTATAAATTTCAAACATGTAATTTACATTAAATTTAACAGTGATAAAATATTGTTGACTAAAGCAACAGTGTAATTTTTCAATTGTTATTAAAAAGGTGGTAAGAAAGTATAACTTACATGTATAACGTTCCTATGGATTTTTTTTTTTTTTTTTGCATGGGCATAAAGAAATTGCAGTGACTAACTAGATGGGTAAAGTTAGTAGACAAACTTTAAGTTGGCTTGAAAAAGACTAGCCAGAAAGTTTGAAAAAGTTTTAAAAGCTTAAAGTTTTAGATAGATCGATAGATAAAGTAGGTTGGCTTTCTCAAATCAACTTAATTATTGTGTTTTTGCTGTTGCTTTTTATACAGTTCGAAAAGCAACTTGACCCTGCTAGTGATGGCCGGTTCGTGAACGAATCGTTCTTTTGAACCGGTTCTTTTTAGTGAACCGGTCGAACCAGTACACTAAATCGGACTGAATCGTTCGAAACAGTTCGCGTCTTGCGTTAGTGCTGATACACAAGTTACTAAAGTTACTCACTTTCAGACATGCCTGACAGTCCCTCTGACTCGAAATAAACCAATATCCCGGAGTATATTTCACTCCAGTAAATCCAACAGTTTGAAACGTGCTGTTTTTGAGAGTGATGAGCACGAGCTGATACTGCGCATGCGCGTACTACCGAACGCACATGTACAGCGGTTATCGGATCACCAGTACAGAACCGAGAACTGTTTCTTTCGGACACGTTCGACATAATGAGAACAACTGATCGATGAGCTGAGCACGCGTGCAATTTTTTTCTGAGGGACGAAATGTACGTTTCTTAAGTATTTATTTAGTTGAACATCAGTAAGTGTAATAAAAAAAAACATGTTGGAAACATGTTTATCACATAATTACTGTATTATCACTGTATTATTTTAAAGTTTGGAAACACAATGAATGGATTGTAAAACTGTCAAACTAAACATTTATTAAAATAATATTTTCAGGAACTGCTCATTTAATTTCTAAGTAAGTTGATATAAATATTTGATGTAAACTCTTGCCAAAGTTTTAATGGTGCACACTGCACAGTACTGCTTAGTAAATGTTTATAATGTGTTAAAACATAACGTATTAAACATATTGGAGAAGAAAGACATGCATCGATTTTTTTAGTTTTGTCGACTGTATATTCAGCAGTTCTGCAGTTCTCAGCTCAGCACACAGCCTATGCTACGGTTCTGGAGTCAAGAACTGGTTGTTGCAGTTCTTGAATCACCAGTACAGAACCGAGAACTGTTTCTTTCTGACACGTTCTTTACGGAGAACCAATGAGCTGGAGATACTGAGCATGCGTGATAGCACCGTCTCTAAACAGAACTTTCTTTCAGCCAACTGATGATGTGCTGATGAGCACGCAGCACGGGTGAACCGAGGACTTAAATGAGGGGCCGAATTCGGCGAAATGTAAGTTTATTACAAATAAAATGATGAAGACCACTTATGCACTTTATATATTTAAGACATGTTAAACATCCGCGTTTGCACATCGCCTGTAGGCTACAGGGTTCGTTTGCAAAATGTAAATGTAAGAAACTTATCCCAGAGGATTATTACGATGAGTACTATTATTTAAGTGAAGTTATGATTACAAATGCCTTTAATTTAAAGTATTTTTATCCGCCGGGATGATATAATTGACGTCATTACGCGAGGACGTAAAAGAACTGGTGAACCGGTTTTTTGAACCGGTTCATTGAAACGAACTGTCCGAAAGAACCGGTTCGCGGAAAAGAACCGAACTTCCCATCACTAGACCCTGCAAATAGTCTATGTCAGGGGCGGGTCTACGTGGTGGCCAGGGGGGGCACCGGCCCCCCCTGAAATTCGATTGGCCACCCCAGGTGCCCCCCCCTATAAGATGCCTTGTGATTGGTTCATTTTACGGCCAATCAGTTTATAGACTCTACTGAAGTTGTGATTCAAAGAAGTGCAGCGCCAGAGAAACAACGGTCGTCGCGGACTTGGACTGTTATATTATCAAGTGTGGGAACGTCAAGACACCAAACAAAGAGCTGGTAGGTAACTTTTATGTATGGTTTAATATGTTTGTATGGTTTTCTCAGATCAATGTTTTTACCCCGGCCGTCAGGCTCTGCTCGCGTTGGTCGTGGTTGATTTCAATCCAATGTTCAGTCAAAGTTTAATAAAACACATTAAAAGTAAAAAAGCTGGGCACTATCAAACAATAAACACTGTCATGGTGATTTGCATATTTTGTATCAGTTTATTTTGTGACAGTGACCACATAGGAAGATTGCACCAAATGACAATATGCACAGAATGTTCCAAAAAACAATAAATGATAATAATAATAATTGTCTGGTGACACGTAACGTTATGTTACTTGTTAATGCATGATGAGAGTAAGTCAGTTAGATAGTCAGTTAAATTGTCAGTCCTAACTTAGTCATTTACACGTGAAATGACATGGATGCATTCTGTGCATTTCATTCACAATTTGAACAATTTTTGTTGAGATTGAGAATAACAGACACACACAAGTGTTTCTTTTTTGAAGGCAGGGAAGAGAACAGTGCCAAGCCATGAAAAGAAGTAAAGATATAGGGAGTTTCTTTCAAAGAAAACAAAACTAAACAAAACAAGTGTAGAGGCAGAAGCAACTGAAGAAAATGTTACTGGCCAAGAAGAAAATGTCAGGCAGCAAGAAAAAATTGTCACTGGAACAGAATCAGCCAGCAAGGAATCAACAGGCCAGACAGACAGTGATGCCAGTGGACCCAGCCGACAGCAGTGGCCTTCATTTTCCTCTGTGCTTCCTGCAACTTCAAGTATGTGAAGTGTTGAGGGAATTGTAGGGATATTTAATAAATAGTACATTTCAATTGTATGAAGCAAACTAAAACGCTAGTAATCATTGCATGTACATGAATTTGCCCTAAAAATACCATGAGCATATTTATTCTGCTATAGTAGTCACAGAGCTTGTTTTGTTTTCTCATTGATGCAATATTTACTTGTGACATTTCATCATTTCTCAGGATCAACGTTTGGTGGGGATAAACAAGCACCTTCATCCCCAACAGAATGCAAAGGTATGTATAGTTGTAGTTGAGACCTGAAAGTTCTTTTGCACATGTTCAGCAAGTGATGTTAAATGATGTTTGACGTCTACTCTGTTGATTATTATTTTACTGTATCTGCAGATAATTCAGCTGTAAGTGACCTGTCTGAATTTGAAGACCACGAAGAAACTTTGTGTCAGCATAGGTCAGGGGGTGATGGTGACAGACCTCAGGCACTGCATGCCAACATCTCCACAGATCGCATTCTGCCAGGACCACATGGTATGCTCCAGGTTTTTTTTTTACTGACATATTTCTAGAAGGTATTGTCTAAATGGGTGTTAATGATGAGCTTGTGTATTTTAGTTAAATTCCTAAAACCTTAAAAATGACTGATTGCCTTCATATTATTGGAGGGTCTATGGTTATGTAACTAACTTTCATTCAAACTTAATTTGCAGAATCAATTGTATGTATTCTAGGTTGATTTAATTGACAAACTACACCTTCTGCACTTATAATTATTTTAATTATTACTCATTGTTTAAATTGTTTGAGGACCCCTGGTAGGCTAGTCATCGCTATAAGAAGACCATTCTCTTTATTTGCAGACATTTCACAGTCTCGGGCAGCAGGACCAACACAGCCGCACTTGAAGGTGTTCCCTCGAACCATGAAGGGCGACCGGAAAAGAGCTTTCAACAAAATGTGGTACACACAACACCAATGGCTGGAATATTCTGAAAGCCGAGACTCTGCATATTGTTTTCCGTGTCGACACTTTTCTCTCCCTGGTATTCAAGAGACTTCATTCACATCATCACTGGGCTATTCTAACTGGAAGAAGGCAATGTATAAAGATGGAGGTTACAGGGGACATGAAAAATCTGAAAATCATGTTAATGCCATGATAGCATGGAATGAACACAAAAAAAGAATCTTGACAGACACTTCAATGTTAAATGCCCTCGATAAGAAACACCAAGAAGTAGTCGAACAAAATCGTACCTACATTAAAACAGTTGCTGAGGTACTTTTGTTTACTGCAACGCAAAACATTTCACAAAGGGGACACCTTGAGACCGATGCATCTACAAAAAAAGGAAACTTTTTAGGCATTATGGATTTGATTGCTAAGCATAGTCCACTAATTGACAAGAAATTGAAAGCTGTGGGGAATGCAAAATACACAAGTAACACTATACAAAATGAAATTCTTGGATGTCTGTCAGATATGGTACGGGAAAGCATCGTCAGTGAAGTCAAGGAAAACAAATATTTTTCCATCATTGCAGATGAAACAAAGGATTTAAAAAAGAAAGAGCAACTGTCATTAGTACTTAGGTACTATTATAATGGTGCAGTCCATGAAAGCTTCCTTGATTTCAAGCAAGCTACTGAGCTTGATGCAGAGGGACTCACTCAAAAAATAATACAATGCCTGGAGACGTATGGACTTGAGTACAGGTCAAATCTAGTGGGGCAAGGCTACGATGGGGCGTCAGTCATGTCAGGGAGACACTCTGGAGTTGCAGCAAGGATTAAAGCTAAAACAAATCACGCTTTTTATGTGCACTGCAACACACATTGTCTTAACCTTGTTCTCGTTGACTCAACAAAATCAGTGCCTGAGTCTGAAACCTTCTTTTC